ACACGTTTTTCTGAACACCTCCAGGGACAGTGATCCCACCACTGCCCTGAACTGCCAACTCCAATGCTCAACAAGCCGTCTGGTGAAAAATTTTTCCTTAATACCTTAAATATGTGCCTCCCCTGGGCACAACTTGAGGCCATTTCCTCTTGTAGCATCACTCACTACTTGGGAGAAGTCACTTTTATTCCTGTTCAGAGCCTAAAGTTGTAACAGAAGTTTTAAACCTGCTTTACAGTTTTTCCCTGAGACAGAACCTTCAGAGGAGCCCGTTATGAGGACACAAATGCTACAGACATTATTTCCCAAATACCTCTGGGCATTCAAGGTGCAAACTGTTAAAGAGAACACCTTAAGGACCCTCAAGGTACACAACCTAAAAGGGAAGTGTTTTCTGGCAATCTGCTTCCCCAGCACCTCCTAAAGAGCAAATACTTGAGGTTTTTCCTTTAATTAACAGAGCTCCTTATTTGTGTGACACTTTAAACAGCCCCCAGCCCGACAGCTGGAACAGAGAGGTTTTCAAAGGACTCTCTAACCCACACAGGCAGTCCCGGGAGGGCAGGGAGAGGGAAGGGCTCCAGAGGGGAGAGGGCAGAATACATAAACACCTTCTTTTATGTTGAGCCTGAAAGGTTCCAAAAGCCCAAGAGAACCCACTTTTAAAGCAGTGCTTTAAAAGGATCAAAAAAGAGACAAGTGTTGTTTTATATCTGGGTGTCAGCGTGAAATGCCAAATAAAAATAATCAGCCAGTACTATTAGAGCAAAAAGACAAAGAACTGAAAAGAGGTAATTTTGAAACACATGTCCCAAGTCATCACTATCTTCTGAACATGGGACAGCATCTGCCTGTGGGTTTACAGGCCAAAAAAACCTTCATCTGCCCCAAAGTGCTGAGAGAGCTTGTGAAAACTGCACCAAGGATTTGAAACCAACACAGAAAATTTCAGCTTCCTGGGGTTTTGCAGCCCAAGAACCACAAAATACAACTTTAAGGTAAATGTGGCTTTTTTGAACTCATGTTGGGGTTCTTGAAAAACCTCCCTGTAAGCCCTGTGTAAATTTTTACATGTACGAAGGTGATTTTTTTGGAATTCCAAAAAATCCTGAACAAAAAGGCATGAGTGCTTCTGAGGAAAGCACCCAAGTACTTCCTCACAGGACACATTGATCTGCTCTTCATTTACATTTCAGCCAGCTGCTCGCCAAGAACAGAGCACACACATTAGTCTGGGACACATCCTCCTTTTCTTCATCAAAGATCAAATTTGGGTGTTTAGTAAATATGGCCTTCCTACATGTTTGAAAATATATTAACTAGATAAAAATAGCAAGTGGCTTCTGTAAAGAGATTGGCAGCCTCAGGAACCTAATTGTTCACAGCAGGCAGAACTGCATGAATCATGTGGAGAAGGGGACAAGAACCTCAGTGCTACAGAGGGGAACAATTGTCCAGTTCTGCTGCAGCTCCCATGTCCTATTCAACCCAAAACACAACCTGTGACCCCACCCCAACATTAAATCTCTCAGCACAACCAGATGCAAGCAAAGAAGGATCCCAGAGTGGCTTGGGTTGGAAGGTCCTTTAAAGCCCATCCCATTCCACCCCCTGCCATGGGCAGGGACATCTTCCATTATATCCCAGGTTGCTCCAAGCCTGGCCTTGAACACTTCCAGGGACAGGGAGTCTTTTTTAATCTCTTTGGCTTTTTTTCCCAGGTGAACCAGGTCCACACTCTTGGATTCAGCCCAGGATCAGACCTGAATGAAGACACCTGGAAGTTCAGCCCAGTTAACAGATTATTCCTGAACTTTCTGCATACATATTGTGTAAGGGCCTGTGACCAGGAGAAAATCTCTTAAGAGGATGTGAACAAAAGCAGCTGAAATTTTAAAGCACTCTTCCTCAATCCTCCTTGCATAATTACCCTTTGCTGAGAAAGCATCAGACAAAAATAGTTACTCGAGATAAATGGAAAAACATGGACACTCATCCCTCAAGATGTAATTTCTACACAGAATCAGAACCCTTCAGGTTGGAAAAGGCTTCAAGTTCATGAGTGCATGTTTTTCTTACAGGCTGGCAACTTATTTTTATGATACTTCCATGATATCCTTCAAAGGGCAGGCTGAGTGTGACACTTCATTTAATATTTTAATATTAAACATGACCATTCCTGCTGTTTTATGACCATTCCTGACATTCAAGTGATACACTGCTCACTGAGGTACTGAAAAAAGGTGGTGAAGGCTGCACTAGTATAAAAATATTTTTAGGTCAAATTTGGAAAGAGAGCAAATGATCACAGCTTTCTGAAAAAACACATTAAAGGCTTTATTCTGTACCTTTTACTGGGGGAAAATCTCATTTTTACTGCAAGATTCTCCACTAAGAGAGGTGGAACCTCCAGTGACTGCAACAGCTACTTGCTGTCTCAACTCAGGATGGTGGATGGCTTTTATGCTTTTTAAAACACTAAAAATAATTACTCCACATGAAATGAATAAATAACTCTTAAATATATCCCAAAGTACACAGAGAAGAAAATAACTTTTTTGTCACCCCATCAAAGACCCCCTGGACCATAATTTGTCTTTTTTTTTTATTAGACTCACTAGAAAACAAAGTACTGAAATAATCACGACATGACTTAAAATATTGACAGACATGCCAGAAATGTGGAAAAGCCTTTATGTCATGTTTCACACCTCTGTGGCTTTTTGGAAACAAAACCCAAACAAGTAACAGAATCCTCCTGACACCCACTACTCCTGTAAACTTCAGTTCACCTCGGTCTGCAAAGAATTCAGTCTCAAATTCCACATCCACCACACATTTCTGTTTGCTCCTACAGGCAGAATTAAATTTTTAATGGGGTGGGGGAAAAAAAAGCCACAACATTTCCCACACCTTAATTATTGTTCCAGTAGGTGAAGCACCCAGAAGTCGTAGGTTTTTCTTCCAGTCACTTAGAAGGTCCTTAGAAGATCACAAATCCCTAGGATTCCTTATTTCCCATCAATTCCTCCTTGTATCATCACAGAAAAAAACTGACAGTCCCAGACTACTGAAATTCCCCTTTTACAACAGGGTAACACGTTGCTGCTTTTCTTACATCTGATTTAAAATGTGTCAGCAGCACAGCTAAGTGTATGGCAAATACGCAGAGGAAGAGTCTCAAGGCCGTTTTTCTTCCTAATAAAAACTTGTTCTTTGAGAAAACAAAGGTTTGCAAGTTACAAACACATGAGGGATTGAAAAGTTCTGAACAGAAATAAAAACTGGGGCAGGCAGTGAGAGAAAACTCCACTGTGAAGCCTAGGATTCCTCCTCGTGGTGGGGAGGTGGTGATGGGCAGCAAGAGAAATCAGTCACTTAGAGAGCTGAAGGAAATTTGAAACCATTTTTACATAGTTAAAATTCATTTACTGGAATGCTGAAGCCTTCAAGGCCTACAGGAGATGTGGCACTTGTCTGATGCAGGGCAGGTTTCGTGGTAATTGTAGCAATTTAGAAAGGAAAGGTGAGCAGAAATAGCAGTCCCTGGCCCTAAATCACCACTTTCACGTGAGGCAAATATCCATCACTTCACCCATTAAGCACTGATTTTATGATGCCTGATAAATTTAGATGTTAGAAAGCCATTCCAAACCAGTAAACTCAGGTTTTTCTAAACTGATCAAGCAGCTGACATCTTAACATCCGATACACATCCTCTTCTTTATCCAATTTAACAGCCTGGCACATTCACAGCCCCTCAGAAAAGGAAGAGGGGAGGATCCACAAAGGTCTCCAACGTGAAGGATTATACTTTCTTTTCTAGGGGCTTGTTTGAAGGATGTAAAAGTGCTCAAGACCAGGTTGGACCAGGCTTGGAGTGACCTGGGATGGTGGAAAATGTCCCTGCCCGTGGCAGAGGATGGAATTGGGTGAGCTTTAAAGGCCCTTTAACCCAAACCATTCTCTGGTTCTGTGATTCTCTGACAGAAGTAAAACACTACCAAATCACCACTACATGTTTACTGAGGATAATTTATATGGTTTGAATTTCCTTTAATGCTGACTTGATTGGAAACCTTGACCTTATCCCTCACAAAGCAAATCAGAGCTCTTAATTATTCCAGTTTTCCTCTTGTTAATGAAATGCAACAGTGTCATTAGTGAGGCTTGTCAGCCACACTTATGTGCAGAGAAATGATTTGACACTGCTTTTGTCATCTAATCCTTTCAGGAAAAACAGTCACAACGTCACTCAAGCACTGTAAATAAAAATCCTTCAAGACAAAGGGGACAGATGGCAACACTCTCAAGGAGCATCACCTAAAATATTCATCCTTTAGGAGGAGAGGAGGGTTAGCCCTGTCAGCAGTCAGTAGATTTGAATCTTCCAAGGGAAAAAAACAACAGCCAAATATCCTCTGTTCATGAAGTGAGGCTGTCTATGAAGATCTGTCAGGATAGTGATTTTTGCAGAAAATTTGCTGCACTCAGTGACACAACACCCTCCATTTCTCACTGGCAGCATCCAGAGGCATGGATCCACACACACCTCTGTGCAGAGGCTCAATTGCTACCACCAATTATTATTGTCAGTTCTAGCTACAAACCAGCAAAAATATTTAGGGCAAACCCACAAACTGCAAGACCTCAGTGTTAGTGCAATTGCACAGGAAAAGCCTTGTCCATCCCTCCCTTCCCCTCTCCTCCCATTTTAACTACAATTCCAGGCTGTTAAAATGTCAACTACCAAGCTAAACCAGCTTCCTGTGGTAAGAGTTAATTAGAAACAAATGTTATCAGAGATGCATGAAACTACAAACTACTGCTGAAGAGACAACTACAGCAAGAGACAAAAACAGTGAGATGTACTAAAGACTTGAAATAAAAAGGAAACAACTCAAAATGATACACAAAACAAGGGGAAAAAACGCTCTAGTACAGAAACCACCATCTGTCTCTTCAAAACTAGAGCTGCCATGAAGACAATGTATAGTTACCTGCATCCATATCTGCAAAGAAGGGAACAGCCAGTAAGGAAAAGAAGGAACCAGAAATTCAGTGTCTCAGAGTTGGATTTAAAAGTTCATAAGGAGAACAGATAAAGAAAAATAATCAAAAAAGTATTTACTGTAAGTTAAACCTTGATAAGGTGATATTTTTGATTTCAAGCTATAAACTTGGATTACTGTTAAACACTAGAGCATAAAAACTATTTTTCTATGCCATAAAAACATTTTTTTTAAAAAAGACCAAATATTTAATACATTAAACAATAAGCAAAGTTACACCTTTAAGTTCAGGCTGGTGAAGATTTTTATTCTCTCAACATCCTGATTGTACAGAAACCCAGCACTACAGACAGTAATTGTGGCTTTCAACAGCCCAAAGCAGCACTACTGAGAGCAGTCAACTCCTATCCAGCAGGACTAATTCCCATATGGACACACACTGTGGGCCAAAGGAGTTAAAGGATGCTAAGCAATTATGGAAAATCTACAATCATACTCATCCCACATACTCGGTCTGGAGAATGTTAAAGCAAAAATCTCCATGAATTTTGAAGTAGTGCATGGATTTATTTTTTTATTTTTTTTTTAATTCATTTCTGCATGATCAAAAATGAGTAAGGATGTAGTTTTGGGAGGGGAAAAGAAGAGTGGGATTTGTGTATGCACATACCTTCGGGTGACTCCTCCTGGACATAGGTGCCGGTCAGGTACCGGTGCACCAGCGCTGACTTCCCACTTGCCAGGTTACCCACAATCCCCTGGAAATAAAAATAAAAAGGAGGAGGAACAAAAAATTCAACTGCAATTAATCCCTGTAAAAAGAAATGCATTCAAGCAAAATCTTCACACAGAAGTAACATCCCAAACAACAGACATGGTGCAAAACGTGCCAAGAGATAAAATAAATGGCTGAGCAGTTTGGGGTGGAAAGGACCTTCGAGATCATCTTGTTCCACCACCTTCCACTACCCCAGGGTGCTCCAAGCCTCACTCAACCTGGCCTTGGACACTTCCAGGGATGGGGCACCCTGTCCCAGGGCCTCCCCACACTCACAGGGAAGTATTTCAGCCCAGCCCCACAGGGGTTTTTCTTCCTGGAGGTACTCAAAAGCCTTGAGTGTATTTGGGGTTTGTGGCTGTAAAGGGGAACACATAGCTGAGGACATTGTGCTCCCTTCTTGGGGGTGGGAGGTGATGGAAAATTCTTTCCCCCTTTGAAACAAGCCCAGCCTGCTCTGTTCTCTCCTGTTTACTTGACCCTCACCAGAGGTTCAGAACAGAAGGTCCCTGGAGAGAAGATGAACTCTGCTGATCTGCTCAAGATTGCCAAATGGACCGAGGCAGCAGCAACCAGCTGCACATCACTGCACATTCTCTACCCCATCTTCTTAATCCTAATTGGCAAGGAACTGCCCTCCTTATCAGACAGGAGCCAGCCACGTGTGCTGGCACCCCAAATTCCCCCCTGCCTTGGACTGATCCCACAGCGTGGGCAGCAGGGGAGGGAGCGGTGCTGGGATGAGTCACAGGAAGAAAATGACATCTCTAACATGTCCCTTACCCCCAGAACATGAAGCAACCTCTCAAATTAATGAATTTTCTCTCCATTATATGCCCATGTACTGCAATACATTTGCCTACTCTCACTCACAGCACAAAACCATTGAGACCTGAGGGAACCCTGTGAGTAAACATTTCAGCCTTGGCACCTCTTCTTGTCACCAAACCAACACTACCTCCCCTTCCTTACAAAGCTTCCCAGGGAGAAGTTCCTTCCCACTCTTTTTTTTGCCTACAACAATATACAAAATCCCCCCTGTTCAGGATTCACCACCATCAAAAAGAGTTAACTTAGTGTGTGAAAGCTGAACTGTATTTTTAATGGTCTAGACATTTGGCCAAGACACAGTTTTCCAGTGAAACCTTCACTTACAAGTGATTAGCCTTGTGTGGATGGAAATTAATGTTATCTTCTATTACACTCATGCCAAAACTGTAATTTCCAGGGACAAGAGAAAAGCATCAACCTGGGGGTCCAATCAGAGGCAACATCTCATGGCTTGGATGGCTTTTTCTATCCAGAGACCCCCAATATTTGAAAGACATCAAATGATTCAAGAACACATACTTTAATTTTTTAAATATCCCAAAGGTCATACCAGGTTACACCATTTGACAGCACTTCAGGTTCTCTGACACATTCTTACAAAGTAGGAGAAATAAATTCTACACTGGTGAAAAAAAATAAAAATCTGAGTTCCGATACAGTTTCTCTCTTAATCATCATTAATATTTGCTTTAAGGCTGATCCCCCACAGTATGACAAAAATGCCAGCCTGTTTTCACAGCAGTCATATTCCTCTCTCCCCTGTTTCATACACAAACAATCCGAGTCATCTCCATTTATTTATGGATATGTCTGAAATGCACCAAGTTATGACAAGCATGTTAGGGAACAAAAATACCACCCTAACCCAGTTCAGGGAGGAGAAAATTCAGCTACAACTCACTGCTCTTTTCAGTTATGACTTGTGCAACACTGAATCATTTATTTCCATGTGCCAGACATGCTGTAAAACAAACCCAAGCCACTTTGCCCACTCCTCCTAAAGCCTGTTGGGAAAAATAATAAACTGTATTGATGGCACTCGGCATTTTAAAGCTGTCCCTGAGAGGAGCCTGACTACACTTTGCATATTTTTTTGCAAGAAATGTGGTGATTTTATCCAGAAATATGTCATGTTTATTCTGCCTAACATATCCTTATTTAATATCTGAATAAACAGGACCAAGAAACCCCAAAGGCACTGGTATCACCATGTTCCCGACCACAATAAAAGCATGAAAAGCCATAAGTTAATCTCAAGTACTGGATCAGCAGGAACCCATTATAGAATCCCAGACTGGTTTGGGTTGGAAGGGACCTTAAAGCTCATGCAGTTACACCCCCTGCCATGGGCAGGGACACCTTCCCCTATCCCAGGTTGCTCCAAACCCCCTCCAAGGTGGCCTCGAATATCCTTCTGAGCACTGGAAAGAAACCAACCCTCGTGTTGCTGAAAAAAGGAGGCAAAGACTGGTGTTTTTTCCTCAAAGGCACACTGAAAAATACCTCCTTCCTTTATTGCAGCCCTGGGGGCTTTCTCTGCTCTCCCAGGGCCAGTTTCTGTTCCCTTTAAAATTATGCAGAGCCCAAAGGGTGCAACAACAGCCACTCTAGAAATAAATAATAAATAAGTATTTTCCTCCCAGCTGTACAGGAGGACACCCTCTCCCTTTAACATGGCCCTCATGTTCCTCAGCCACAAGGAGCACCCAGGATGAAGCTGAACTTTGGGAATGACAGAGGTGACCCAGGGCCCCAGCCCCTCCCCAAGGACAGATGTGAAGGAAAGGTAGAGCAGATTTCAGCTGGGCTTCCTAATTTACCCTTCCTGTTGGAGCACAAGTTCACAGGAACTGCTGCTGCTGCTGGCTTCCATCATTTGCAGTGCTATAATCAAATTATTCTTTTTGTAGCAGCAGAAGTTCTGCTGTTACCCTTGGACAGCCATCTCGTGGCACGCTGACCACTGCAAATCAATTCTCTGCAGCAGCTGAAATCTGCTTTCCTACCGCCCTGCTTCAGACAACACAGGCAGGACACCCAAGGTAAGCACTCACATGATGCAGCCAGGCTGTCACAAGAGAAAAATGTACCCTGACACCATCACCTGGTGCTTGGTAATCGTTTGTGTTCTCAACTACAACATGGAGTACCTGCAGCTCTGGTCTCACCTGCAACTCCCAATTTTCTTGGTGGGTGCTGTGAATGAACAGGGCTCAGAGAAGGGGAAGGGATGTGCAAGGAAACCCAGGATAAGCCAGCTACCAGTGCTGGACTCCTATCCAACCAATACCTCCCAGTCCTGAATTCCTGTTTTTTCACTGTGTGAGGTACTTGTGGTCTCCCAAACGACAGCATCTGTTTAACAAAACTCAGGGAGCTTTCCTGTATCAGGGAGTTACATCCACTGACTGGCAGATTCTTCTTGTACTCACCTTGAGCACTGCTAAAGTCAAAATGGCCACACAACTGTAGTTGTGAGGATGCTGCCCCCATTAAAATGCCTCTCTCACGAATTTATCCTGTTAAATGTGCCCTTGCAGATACTCTCACCTCTATAAAACATTATTATCAATTCAGATTTGGGAAAGGGTTAAATTCTTTAAAGAGAGGGAGAACAGACATCTGGTCCTTTAAGAAATCATGAAAGCTTAATATGGGGAGATAAAATGAGCTTTACATGTCAGCTGCTAACTTCCACTGCCCTCATAAGACTTCCCTGCTGAGAAGATCCCCCTTGGAAGCTGCTTCTTGGAGCAGAAAAAACTCAAACAGCAATAAAATACTGAGAGATCTTTGAAGTATGATTAAAATAAATACTGAATATACATCATCTTCATAAAGATAGCCTCAGCCCTGGAAGTGTTCAGGGTCAGGTTGGAGGGGGCTTGGAGCAACCTGGAATAGTGGAAAGCGTTCCTGCCCATGGCAGGGGGTGGAAGGGGATGAGCTTTGAGGTCCCTCCCAGTCTAAACCCTTCAGTGGGTCTATAACAGATGCATAGAGGAAAATATTATTTATTTATTAAAATTGCTTTCTACATTTTTTTCCCAACAGCAGCTCGAATTAAGCATGGAAGATCCCCACTTGTGTGGGACATTTCCAGGATGTTTTCCAAGACAGGAGCAAACATGAACTCACCACTTTCAGCTCTGGTACAGATCGGCTCAGTGTCCATTCCTGGCTATTTACAAAGGCATCTGTGGAAGAGGAAAACATTCCCAACATCAGGATAATGACATTTAATGCTCTGCTGCACACAATTTCATGCCACGGTTTTGGGAATGCGAGACCAAAGGCCACGCCTGATTCTTGGGAGGCTGACAGTCCAACATGACAAAAAGCAGGGAAATTATACCAAAAAAAATCCAGAAATTCCCATTCTGCATGGATTTGCTCTCAGCAGCAAGTGCTCCCACATCATCAGCAAGCTCAAAGTAACCCCAGGCCCTTGGAGTTGTGCAAAGGCTCTTCCAGTGTGTACCTGGTTAAAGCATTTCCCATGCACAGCAACACATTCCTTCCCTACAGGAGAAGCCTTGGATTTGTCACGTTACGAGTCACTGACTGCAGCTGCCACCATCTGCAGTAACTTCTCCACCCAGGTAAATAAGAAAATTTGCTGGTTCTAAAGCATGTTATTTTCTACTGCACATCACAATGTCAGCAACTGCAGCAACCAGTCAGTGGGAACATCCCTGCTTAGGAAGGGGGAAATCTCTTTTTTCCTCAAACACACTATTTTTTCAAGAGCATAATCTAAGCAGAAATAAACCACAGATCCATTTACTACAAAGTTAATTAAAAACTACTTGGGGCAGGGATTGATTTCTTGAAGAAAGGCAAGTTTCTCACAGAAACCATGCTCTTTGGGCTGCACTTGGCTCCTGCCTCACTGACAATTCCACACCAAAGAAGAGAAATAAGGCTCTGTTTTTCTGTATTTAGAAACTTTCACAATTTTGTTCCTTCCCTAAAGGTCTGGTCAGCTGTAAGCAAACAGACAGTGATGTTTCTGTTACCAACCCAGTGTGGATCCTGATTTAACCCCTTCAGAACCATGCAAACCAGCTGCATGCCTGTTCTGCACAGGATGCTCCTACTGAGGAGAACAGCTCCAACTCCACAGAAATGAAGCAGCACCGAGATTTCCAGTGTTCCAATCAATTCCTGAAGCCACAGGAAAATAACAGATGGAAAGTTACACCTGACCACATTTTTAAGCAAGCCACTTAAGGTCCTGCAAGCCTCTGCTTCCCCTCCAATAAACCCATCAGTAGGAGGAGAAGGCAGTTTCATTTCATTTTTTGATCTGGAGAGTAATTCTGTGATTCTGTGAAATTGAAGGCAATTTCCTGCTCTAGATGTGACCCTCACTAACTTCAGAAACCACCCAAGCTTTCCCAGCACCCACCTAAAAACAAACACTTGCATTTTCCAGTGTATCTCTATTAAATATCTTGCTCTTGCCTCAATATCCCAAAAAGACCTATTAGCCAGGAATTAGGAAAGCTCCAGATGCATGTAACATCTTTCTGTATTAAATCCTGTGTGTACCTATATGAAAACACATGGAAAATGATCAGTATTTTGGTACAGGGATGAGCTCCTCCCACACACTCACTGGCAGGGGAAGGAAAACCAAAGGCTCAGAGTGAAACACTCTGAAGACTTGGGGTAACCTTTGGCATTCCATGTGCAAGAGAAGACACTGGTCATGCAGCTCCTGTTCCATCACCTGAAGTCCCTCTGGATCAAAACCCCAGGAAGAGCTTTCTGTGCTACACCCAGCTGACAATAACTTGAGATAGACACAAAACAAGCAGCAATTCTCATTTGGGAACACTGCATGCAAGACCTGCTCATGATTAAAGCATTCCAAAGGGACCACAGCTTGGTTTAGGGATGTTCTCCTACCTTCCTGTGGTAAGGAATGTTTTCCCAGACAGGGAGCAATGGAATGGGAAGCTTTAGATTGGGTATTGGGAAAATTTTCACTGCCCTAACAGGAAATTATCAACTGTCATGGTTTGCTTTGAGCTGCTGTGGATTTGGGAGGGAGCAGCCAAGGCTGAATGAGATGAGGAGGTTTCAGCTCATCTCCAGACTCTCAGGAGTCAAGGAAAACCATCAGTCTCAGGCAGGTATTATCCCTGAATTGTGGAGGTTTAGGTGTGTGAAACAAACTGGAAGAGCTCCCTATTAATGTCAACAAGCTTCCATAAAAAAGAACCACTGGATTTTATCACCATGGAAGGTAAGAAAAAGATGAGTGAGCAAATCACTGCTGCTGACTTGGAGAACTGCAAAAAGATCTGCCAAGCCAAAGGGTAAACTGCACAAGGGTAACATGAACATCACAAATCTGGTTTTTCTCTATAATAAAAACCTTAAAATATTATTTTGGAGGACCTGTGCTTTCCAAAAGGACAAATCAGGGAGGCAATGAAAGCTAGAATTCCAAAACGCACAGAGGCCAAAAGACAAAACAGAAGGTGGGCAGCTGCAGAAAGGAAGCCCAAGGGTGAGGACTTATTCCTCCTACTTGGTCCTTCCTTCATCAAAATACACCAAAACCCCACATCAGGAGCTTCCAAAACTGTATCAGGCCTCAAGGACCCTCCACATGGGCAATATATGTATTTTAATCCTGATTGGCAACATAAGAAATAAAATTAAATTCACTAGTCAAGGCGCTAGACTTCTTTACAAAGCTACCTTCCCCTTTTCTGCTAAGTCCTTGGTTCCTGCACCCACACAGGTTTTGAGTGTCTAAAATACTTGATAAAGGTTGAAATTCCATTTTATTGCTAAAGTACACCTCTTCAAAACAAAACCCAAACAAAAACCACCCTGACCTCAACCCAGCTAATTTAAATAAAATCTCCCACTTCTATTACTTCAATTTGCAATTAATTTACATCAGGTTTTCCAGTGTCCTTTAAAAAAATAAAGCCAGCTCATTTTTATTAGGAGATCTATGAGATTCCTTTACACTGGCATGTTTACAAGGAATTACCACAGCTAAACACAGAACATGGCATGAAACAGTGCCTGGTCTCTCCAGCAGTGTGAGGTTTGTGTGCCATCACTGGGATGGATGTGGAAGCACCCTCTACCCAATTCACTTTCTAGGAATGCCTCAGGAAAGACTGACTCATTCCAAGTTAATCCCAACATCCACAGAAGTTAAGGTGAAAAGGTCAAATACTTGCAGATAGAACATCACAAACAGGTCTGGGGATTTGCCTTAATTTCCTAAATAGAGAAAACTAAATTACAGATACAGCATGAAACACTGGATCCATCAAACTGGAACGTGCAGAGCCCAAATTGTGCAGCCCACAAAAATCCTCTGCTGAAGCTACAACCCCCCACCACCACATGTTGATTTAAACATATTGGAAGAGATTTGCATAATAAATAGAACCATATGTATGAAGTTGATCAACTAGGGTCTTGTTTGTATTACTGCCCAGCTCTGGAATTCCAGTGAACTCAACCTTCGTGTCCCACTCCAGGCTCCACACATGCAAGGAATTACTTTTGTCAATAATTAATCACAGTTGCATGTGCTGCTCCTTTCATTTCTGCATCACTGATCAAAAGCTTCAAATATTCATGGTGTCACTTGTGTCTTTTTAAAACGTGCACCAAGAAGATGCACAGCTGCATCTCCTTCACAAAGATTTCTTTGCCACAACAGAAGTCTTCATTTTCCTTTTCCTCAATTCCTCTGGTTTTATTTCTACCACTACACTAAAGCACGAACTCCAAGAGGATCCTTGGCTGATTTAAAACCTCAGTTTAGTAACTCAGCCCCACCCAGAGGAACCTTATTAATTCCAGTATTAAGAATGAGATGTAGACTTTGGTTCCACCACGCGAATCCCAGAATCCCTTGAAGCTCATCCATTCCACCACAGGCAGGGACACCTTCCACCATCCCAGATTGCTCCAAGCCCTGTCCAAACTAGCCCTGAACACTTCCAGGGATGGGGCAGCACCTGCTGAGGTGAAATCCTGGGGTCTGATGGCCACTCTTGCCCAGATCCATGCACACCATGGCACAGGACAGCAGCTGATTCCAAGGTCTGACTGTTCCAACGCTCCCTATTTAAAAACCCCACTAAGAATTTTCCAACAGAAAAATCTACTTCTTCAAATCCAGCAATGACCACTAAACTCTAAATAAATATTAGCAAAAGAATGTTAATAAGAGAACGCAGGGTGAAGCATCAGTGAATCCCAGCATCCACAATTCAAGAGGGGAGGGAAGTCATGAAAACCAGAAATGCTTCCCAGCCATTCCAGCAATAACCACAGCAAGAGCCTGGCAGTTCAGAGTCCAGCAGTCTGGCTCATTCCATCCTTGGGTTTTCACACTGGAGACCCTCTCCTAAATTAACTCCATTTACTGCCACGGGCAACAGCAGCAAGGCAGCTAATGGGACCTCTGAGAAAATGGTTCTAACTGGGGCCAATCAGATTTACACCACCCCCTCCATCCTGAGGAAAAAATCCTCCCCAGCCAGTGCAGTTTGTTCACTATTTTGGGAGAGCCTGGGCAGCCCCAATATTAACACAGCACTGGGCAGTGCCCATCAGCACCCCTTGAGCCACCAACCTTGTTTTGCCCTTTTTTTCACCTTAATCTCTCATCCTTGATTAGCAAAAAGCTGAGAAGCTCAGAGCTTTCTCTTCCTCTGATCTACCTGGAAATTCAATGGCAACCTGACCAAAAAGAGTGGTGAGGGAAGGATGGGCAGATCTCTCTGCTGGATGACATGAAAGGACTTCAATCTTTCACAATTCTTAGAAAGCTTCTCTGCAAGAGCTTTCCTGAGGCAATCCCAATGTTACTTTGCTGTCCTTCTAAACGAGGAAAAGCTATAAATAAATAGAATATAGAAAAGCCAAGGGATTTCTTTGCAAACTCACAGCTAAAGATCCTTTTTGCTAAGAACAGGAACCCTCAGAAACATGGGAATTAAGTTAAAAGTACCAACAGCTATGTCACACACTGCTCTCCCCTTCAATAATTTCTGCATTACAAGCAATATTTAGAGTTTCTTCTCCTTTGAAATAAAAACCTGAGAGTGAACAGGTACAGAAAATATTCCTACAAGCTTCCACTTGTCCACAAGGATGCAAATAAGGCCACACATCTCTGTCTTGGAGCTGTATCAAAGCAGCACTT